GACTTGGAAGTATATCATTATTAGGTTGCGGATCTTTATGCGAAATAAAATCTTTTTCGTTGAAAACAATATAACAATGGTCTTAAATTCTTCTAAAGAATTCGCTGTTTTGTTTCGTATTTCATTTATTTATTTTTGACATGAAAGGATGAAATCCGCGGTACAGAGAACACAATTTCGTTAGGCTCGCTTCTTTCGATGAAGACCGCTCATAACAATTGAAATTTGAACGTACATCCTCTGCCTAGCAATGATACTGCTATTGTTATACAAATGATCTTCTTCTGACCTTCCACAGCGTGCATGGAAATGTCTTATCTATCGACGTTGTCGTCGCGCGCGTCAGCTATCTCTTTATTATCCGCATGTTATCAATAGCGCTCATTTCGTTCCCTCGTTTATCACACGCAACCTACGAGCATAGAAAAAGAGTTTCGAGAGTTCTACTTTTTAAATCGATGGTACGCTATAGTAACGCGAGTAAGTAACACGAGCAAATGAACGTTGAGAATCATCGACGAAGAACTCGATAGATAATTGCTTGCGGATGTTTGTGCAGGTGCAATTTATGCGAGCTACAATAGAAGAAAACTTCTATAGAACGTTTCGTGGAAAATACAGATCGCATTACGCTTTGCAAAATATTATACGTGCATTATCGAATTTTCGAAAACCGGGACAGCCGTGAATGCAACGAATTCGCAATTCGTAAATAGTAAACAAACTGATAAGCTACCAACACGAAAGCATTGGACTTAAATTGACTGGCGAGATAAATAGTGAATTATCAGAATTACACAACAACATTACAATGCTGCACGAGAGAATGCTGTCCGCGCAGGACAAATTACTCGATGGAAATTTTTCCGACGAAACACGTGAACCCAGATTAGGCTGGACTTCTGTTAACCTACATCAGAACCACGTGTTAACCAAACAGGTGCAAATGTCCGCAAACGAGCGATAAGATGTTCGAATTTATCTTGAACAACGAATAATGCAAAAACTCGTTTCCGTAAGATTCTAATGCTCGGTCTGTCCTCGGCGCTGGAAAGATAATTTTTTCTCAAATGCGAAAGTTTCGGAGATGCAGTAATGCTTCGCGAACACTCGCAATCGCAAGTTATAACATTCGCTTATCCGTTCAATGAATTTTCCGACAACACATTATCTATACTTATCGACAAAAATTAAGAAATATACGTCTTATTGGAGTTAGAAGTACACATTATAGCATATAACACATTGTTTATATTGCAATACTGTTTTATCTAGCGCGCATGCGACAAATAAAAAAATGATCAAAACAAAAGGGATAAAACAAAAACAAAAAATAAAGAAATAAAATAGTAATTAAAAAATTGTGATACAATAAAATTAATGTTTGCGTTGACACGATACAAATTTTTTAAAATGTTTTGTTGAAAAGGTTTACTACATCCAAAAATATGCATCTGTGCAACGTGTTTCTTAACTTTCGTTCGTATAAATGTATTTCCCAGTTACTATACAAATGTTCAACAACATAATTTCATATAGACCGTCATTACGAGTTCCTTGTTCGAATCGATCAAGTTGCCCCCCCCCTCCTCTCACCTCTACGTGGACATTTCTCTAGAAAAACCGAGAATTCGAAACTCGTTCAAATGATTGCTCTATTAACTCTTTCAAATAAATGAATTTCCCCGTCTCGACAGAAAACAGAGTCTTCGACAGTTTGGCTGCCGCGACATCCGTCCACATAAACAAAATGATTTATTCCGATTTGAAAATTAACTTCTCGCCTGATTTATTATATCTTCCTATATTTCACTAGGATCCGTAAAACGTAAAAGAACGTTGAAAAATTAATAGATGTCGTACAACTTAACTTTCCAATGTAAAGATTAAATAATATAGTTGACTTATACGAATGTGTTTCGAAGTCGTTGGCGTGGCAGTCGAAGTGTTAATACAAGGCGATCCACCTAAGTCCGCTATCAAAGGTGAATCACTCGGTATACATCGGTGAACACGATGAACGATGCAGAAACGTAAGCGTTCGAACAGAGTCTTACTCGAAATTGCTCTAAACCCGGTATATTTACGCCGATTGAACGAAGAGCACTAATTGTTCTGCTGTCTGTGCAGAGCCGTTCCGTTCGACTGCTTGCCGCGGCGAACAGGTCTCTCCCGTAGGCTACAGGTGTGAAACGATAGCTAACAACATCGATAGCTGGCACCGACCCGTCACCTAATCTCGGAACACGTGACGATGAACACGCGGTATCCGAATCGTTCGATTTCGCGGCGAACGAGCAAGAATGCTTTTTGCGTCGGACGTAACAATCGCGACGACCGACTATTTATACTGCGCGTTAACTATAGCACGACAGTGCACAGACACCGGCGTAGGAATCCGCCACGGTGCCTCGTAGTCCGACCGATTTCACGATCGAAAAGCAAGGGTGTAACTTCAGGTGTGCGCGCTCCCGTCGCGTTTTCTTTCCGCGGCCAGACTAATATCGCGTTTGCCAGCCACGGAACGGAAACGTTGCGGGAGACGCACACGTTCGATGATACGCGGGCTCGACTTGTGCCGGGTCGTCACGTGATGCCATGCTCGGTTCACGTGTACACGCTAAAACGTTACGATCGTGTATCGAAATTCGATCGGACAACGGTCTCAGAAATGGACCTAACGACGAGATCGTGTTCCGCCGCGCAACAATGCGCGTATCGAATCGCTCACCCTGTGCCGTCCGTCCCTTTGCTCAGCCGACACCAAGCATCCGGCCACTCGTGTAGAGCTAATTCGTTCGAGTTCCATTCTTGCGAGCAGAATCGCGGCCTAAGTACACACTGGTTTCTTGAAGTGAGATGGTAGTGTGCTACTCCGAAATTTTGTAAATGATTGATGATAATGTTGTTTCGAATCGTTTTTGTTTGTTTATTGTAATTATTGTAATTATTTGTAATTATTTTTCAATTTTAACTGTCACTTGTACGTTGAGAATTATACAGTGGCCCACAAAAGTGTTCATACACCTTTTAAAACGCAATAATTTTTTTGAAGCTGGTTTAAGTGACTTAAATTTTTTTTAGATGATAGCGGGACCAGTTTACTGGACGATGACCAAAATGATTTTCTTGAATTTTGCTATTACTTGGAATGACGAAAAAAAATAATAAAAACTCTTGTTTTTTAACTTTTTCATCTGAGTTTGTAACGGAAATTTAAAAAGATGCCTCTCGTAGATCTCGGTAACTTATATGTATGCTGAAAATTGTATCGATATCAGTTGTCGTTGTTATGAGTTATAACAAATTAAAGATAACAAAAATCGCAGTTTTATCACGATTTTGACTAAAAACTGGAAGAAATCTGCAGTTTTTATCATCTTTCAACATCTGTAGTTCGACCCTGGGTTAACTGATTTCGATTAAATTTTCAGCACGCATATAAGTCACCAAGATCTAAGAAAGGCATTTTTAAAATTTTTTTATAGGTTCTGACAAAAAAGTTAAGAAAAACGAGAGTTTCTTACCTTTTTCTATCATCCTAAGTAATAGCAAAATTAGTCCAGTTTTAAAAAAGTTATTGCGTTTTAAAAGGTTTATGAACACTTTTGTGGGCCACTGTATATAAGGGAGAGCCTATTTGAGTGATAAAGGGCAATTTAGCTTCGCCTATATCTTAATTCCTTCAACGATTCCTTATATCACTCATCATGTAGGATCACTATTATGAAGGAAGTCACAAAAGTGTTGGAACATTTCTGCTACCTCTTGACTTTGAGTTTATTTTTTCCGCCTTCAATAATCGCATGCCAGAAAGTGAGTGTATTCATTTGATTTAGGCTTCATTTTCACTCCCTTGAAGGGCGATTGGGTATCAGTAAGAAATACCATTATTTTTGTCTTGGATCACTGTATAGATGCACAAAATTTTAATTGAATTGTAGAATAAACATTCATCTGATACAGAGAGCGTCGAGTTACTATCTATAGCCAGCTGTTGTTTTGTGGAGAAATTACCAATAGTGCTTATTTTAGGGTGAACATTTAACCCTTTGCACTCCGCTGTCCCCTCTCGTGGGACATTAAAGTTTATTAGTGATTACGGGGAATTGAGTTATTTCAGCGCAACTTTTTCAGACATGCGTGTTTCCCTGAAGTTTTCTCTTGAAATGGCACAAAAAAAATCAAATCAAAATATAGTAAAATTACTACGGTATATACAAGAAATGTCAGCGAGTTTCGACGAGAACGTGAGAGGCGTGCTCACGACGGTCCGAGCACTTCAAAAGCGCCACTTGAAAAGAGCGATAAAGCAAGTTTGTAGAAGAAAGATCGATATGCGAACATAGCACGCACTATATAGTGAGATTTATAATCATAAAATCTGGAGGAAAAGATTTTTAAAGCTGAACTCAGTCTGGTTTGAAGCGTCGAGCGGTATAGATAGATCCAACGAGTGAGAAAATCGGGAAAGCGATTCTTCTCTTGGTAAATAAACTGTTTGGTAAAAGTTTTTTTGGTAAATATTATCTTGTGAGTTAGTTATAAAAATTAGAAATTTTCAACCTATGTATTTATTCATATTTTTTATTAGAACAATGGCAAAACGTTCAAACACGAATGAGTCTCATGACACAAGTAGTAGTGAAGATGAGTTCCAGGTAGACGTTTATACAGATATGTTAGAAAAACTCTAACTGTAGAAGGTTTTCTTCTACAGTTAGTCTATCGTTTTGATAGCAGTGATAGTGATATCGTCCAAGCAACAAGACGACGAGAGAAAGAGTTCGCATAGATAGCGATTACAACAATAAAACAAAATTATAAAACAAACAATAACAAAATTATAAAAAATAAAATATTGATTTTTTGCAAATTTCTCGATTTCAGCCAATTCATAAAAGTCCAATATCATTATAATATGTTAGTTAGTTCCCCAAAAGCATACTAAATAATACGAGGGTCTGTAAATGCCCGTTTCTGCCGAAAAGTGGCGCTGACTAGCTGGTAGCCAACGTCCAGAATGGTTCGGAGTGCTAAGGGTTAACTTACCTATCGCGAGGCACGCTGAACCAGTATTCAGGTCGCAGCTTCTTCTTTCCGTAGCTCATGATGGGCGTGGACCGCGGGATCTTCTTATCCTTTGGTCTTCCGGTGCGCAGTCTCAGGTACAATGGTGGATCCTCGCAGGAACGGGCTGGTCGCGGTATAAGTTCTATATAATTCGACAGAAAGGTTCAATGTAATACGTGTTCACCGATTCGGGCTTATCTGTTTTAAATCTAATGCACGATTTGATTCTTTTCCAGAAGTGACTTCAATTCGCCATATATAACACATCTCCAATTCGGCCAAAAGATCATTCTATACAATATTTATGGCGCGGAGACAGATCTCCTCGTGTGGTATGCGCAGATTCGTTTACCAGAAAAGAAAGAGGAAAATAAATTCGTAAGAAGCTTTTTTCCCGTAGAATATCAAGCGTTACATTCGGAGTTAATTACTTGGAAGAATTCATCGTCATAGACGCACAAACACAAAAATAGTACAGGAGCACAATGTGTGATATGGATTTGGGATCGCAGATGAGACGAAGGTTCGTTTCAATTCACTTCTTTTTTTCCTTTTTCTCGGCAGAATCATGATCAATTGTCACAGAGAGAAGGATATTTGAACGGGGCGTGTTTCCACCAATGAGATGCGAAGGGTGTGGCTTAAGGCGGGACAAGAAAGAAGCACGGTCCAGCCTCCATTCTCTGACAATCTATTAATCATAGAGACAGATTCATAAAGCTCCATCGATCACAGACATTTGCAACACTAAGATACTATAATAACAATACGTCTATATGTGTCGTAAATTGATGAAAGTTCAGTACTCAATTTAAAAAGCAACCACTGTATACATCGATCTTACCATTATTAATCCTTTGATAATCATATATATATATATATATATTAATTTTTATATTATATTAATATATATATATTTATATATATATAAATATAAAAATTTATAAATATATGTATATTATGCCGAGAAAAAGAAGATATAACGAAAAAGAAAACCTTTTTATTTCTCACAGCAAATTTTCAATCCCACAATGTTACAAGACAACATCATCGCAGAAGGTACATGAAAGAGAAGAGTGTGTATCAAGTGACAATAGTGTCGTGGCGAGTGCTCGAAATCGGTGACCAGTAGTCAGTAGCAAGTATACCAATAATACATAACACAGGTAAAGTACACAATGTGCAGGTGCAACGGCAAAATCGAGCGCAAAATGGGAGGGGAGAGTTTCGTGGATTGCACGATAAACAACGTATACTTCAAGGTAACGATACGGTGAGGAATAATGGCCAAGTAACGAATTGAATCAAACGAAACATATACGTGGACGAAAGATAAGAGACGCGACACAGAGCATCTCTGCTGAACATCCATCTTATCTCGCCCGAACTCCTCTCTTCGCTTCGAAGACAATTCATTGTGGGAGACTTCTAGAAAACTCGGCAGGAACATAAAAGAATCGTCGGACTACAAAATCTTTGTCTACCAATCCGCAGAACAGTCTCCTGTTAAATTGTTTATCTTCTTAGATCAGTTCTAACAAATCTTAAGATGCCGCTGAGCTCGAGAGTGTCAGAAACTGTACGCAGATGACAATTTCAAAAGAGCTGTTTATGGTTCCTCTGTGTTTACTTTCTCACAGCATTGTTACCTCAAAGTCTACCAGAAGTTGGGAACCAATGACAATGTGCGAGCTCTAGCGAGGATGTGATACACGAGAGGTAGAAAATAAGCAAGCTAATACTGTATGAACCTACCGAGGCCTTCGAGTTCGGGAAAATTAGGTGCTTGGACTAGAGGGACAACAAAAACATATGACATTACTGCATTAGTATGAATAATCGTCGGCAGACTAACGGGCGAAACCCCTTGCGTTCCACAGTTGTAACAATTACTCTCTATCAGATTTAGAATATGAATCAGAATTTTCGAGACGACAAGTATGCGATTCGAGTGGAGCAAGAGGTTTCAATATCTTGGAGATACGACAACGTCTCCGCTTAATTTAACAACAATGAGAAAGAGATAATGAAAGAATATTAGGCCTGGACTCTAGGTGTCTATCGGGACCGTTAGAGTCTAGGCCCAGAGATCACGACCAAAAGAACTGTTCCCCGAATCTGTGTCAAGCGTTTGAAATTCGAAAATCGCTTGAATCCAAGGGACAGCACAGATAAAAGTAACGAGAGATTAAACTTGATAAAAATGTAGAACTGGTAATGACTAGACTGCGGGTTTTATTCGTTCGTGATGTTTTCAATTTTAATATCTGATACACAGTTTTCTTTGATGCCTGGTACCGTAGAAACACCATTCCATAAAAATCAATATTTACCATAGTTCATTAATCAATAGCTCATTAATTTTTGCACTCTGTTGTAATCACTGGTTTCTATTTTCGTAAAATATTTATAGCGCTTCTAAAAGGTAGAAGACAAAAGGTTAAACTAAAAATAGTTTTATCGATTCTCTTCTTCAGTGATGAAATTGAAAACCGAGAAATTGACTGAGCTTGCGGTTGTCTTAAAACTCGTAAAATCTGCAGTATAGTAATGACAAACGAGCGAAATTTGAAAATATAGAAAATATCGAGACTACGTTAACATATACTAAAAAATGCAAGCGCATTTGGTCACGGATTCGTTGGAATATTTTTCTGCTCAGAGATGGATAAATGTAATTCTTCACTGGTTTCTGCTACTACTGTTTAGAAATCGAATCCAAAGGCGCTCAAAAATTCGAAGAAAGGGATAATAAATGCACTAGCAAAGTAACAGATCGTTTAAGAAGCCGTCTATACATACGAGCGAGTGCAGTGCGTGATATGTAATATTCCCGTTTGCCATCTTTATTGCCATTTCGTTTTTATGTACTCGTGGCTACGTGTAATTAATTACAGTATCGTATCGATCCCTTGGAAACGAATACTCGTTACCACGGTGGCGTGTTTCTTGTATACTGGGCGATTTTAAGACAGTAAGAAAATATTTCAGAAAGAAACCCCGTTTAGGGTTAGGTATAACTATCGCCAGAATCAATTAAATTGTAAAATTCTATATTAGTTGTAGTTTTAATTTTAATTTTTCAACAGTTTACAATTGTAAAATCATTTTCTTTTGATCTAGTACGATAACGATCCCATGCACAGAAAATACGCCATCTAAAAAATGTTTAGTATACATGGTGTTCCACTTTTGTGTGTAAACTGATCCATCTTAGCAAAAATGTTTGAATTACAAAAATTGCACAAAATTAATTGTACACTGAACAGTGTATAACAAATGACTGGAAAATACAAAATTCACATGTCTCCTTCAAATATCTTTGAAACAAAAATCTGTTCTTCAATTGTTATCTGTTGCATTTGAATTATTTAATGCATTTAGTATGGTCTAAATAAATCAATTCAATCAGCATTACCAAAATGCATCAGCTCCGAGTCTAAAAAGCAGAGTACCTGTATAAGAGAAACAGTAGTTGAAGTAGAGGGAACCTGTACGTGTCCACGATTATTGAGTCAATCATTCCGAAACGTAGAGTGTATAATATATGTTGTTTGTAACAGGATCAACAAGTTCAGATACATACTGTCAAAACTGACGAACAGTTCAGGCATGTCGTCGACAGAGACCATACTACGGTAGTCCAATCGTGGTGCCGCTGTTGAAGTTTTGCTACCTCGGCTGCTGTCAACGCTGCTGCTGCCCGAGGATGTTAATGGCTGTTGTCTGATGAATGTGCCAACAGAGGATCGTCTGAAAGGAAATCATACAGCCAAGTTACGGACTTGTCTTTGAGTACGATCTGCTGCCACATTCGAAAGTACAAGCACCAGCTGATGCCTATAATTTCGACACGGCAATTATGTTGCAACACATAAATAGTAAAGAACATCGAACTCGTGGTGGGGTAAGGGATGACAACATTCAAAAAGGTAAACTTCGTATCATCCAACGCATTGTACAGCGAAATAAGGTATAGGTGGCTGCTCGGGGGTTTTTATACTATACGCTGTGTTCGATATCTGGTGGTGATGTGTTGTTTGTAAGCAGTATTTTATATATTTATATAACATATTTATAGATACATGTATTCGTATAAATATATGTATATAACATATATGAATGTATATTTTTATATAAACATATGTTGGCACATGTGTCACGAAATCAGTGGTGGTGGCAGAGTTTCTGAAAAAGTAAATAACGTTTACCTGAAAGCGGGAGCAAAGAGAGCTGACCTGTAGCCTGCAAAAGGCTCAAAGTAACGTAAGGGTCGAGTAGCAAAATAAGGGGTGAGTGTGAAGCTTGAGAGTGAACAATTGGTTACAGAACTTTGAAAATAGTCTAATCGTAATCAGGCTGGAAGAGACATTAAGATAACTTAAGTTATTGGTGAGGGGAGTTGGGAGAGTGTATGTAACACAGAGAAACTATAGTGCTAATCGAATTATAGTTAAACGATAAATACAAAGAGCCGGTTCAAGGTAAACAGCAGGATAAAATAGGAGTCTGAGAGTATAGTAAATACAACAATTTGCTGGTTGATGGAACCGGGCCCAAACTCACCCCATAAGCCCTCCTGGACCAGGTGAAAACTGAGGATTGCTGGAGTCCTGGGAGAGAGAGGAGGCGGTAAGAGGAGGTGTTCCTCCAGTCCTACCGCCCCCACCACTCTCTTCGCTGGGAGTTTTAGCAAACAGGCCCGAGCTAAAGTCACTCACCAGGTTGATCGGCGAGCTTATATCCACCACCATTACATATTCTTTGTTAGTTACATTAGAAACGACAGTAAAGCTTTTAATTAAACACACAGATTTACCATCACAGTCTAAAATGTATCCTCTACTATTTTCGTTTCATTGAGCCACATATGATTCATAAAATGTGAAACATAATCTCTTTAAATTAGTAACAAGGAAGTTTAAATATTTTTCTTCGATGGGAGTTTATTATTAAAGTTATGCTCACATTTTATGAATTACTCTGTAGAAGAGAGTAACACTTTTCCATAAGCATTTTGACGATAGAACAGACTATGATGGTGTTACGTTATTGACGACAATCTCTGGACGTTACTGGATGTCTCGCGTTCTCTTGGTTCGTTTACTCCTTCGATGAATAAAAAAAAAAAGCTAACAATATTTCAACGCGTATCGAAAATGCAATAAGCCGCTCGTTTCTAGGCGTAAATAACTAATGAATATTCTACATGTTATAATCAATGAGGGCATTCATAGTAAAACACGTTCGTCGAGTCAGCGAAATTGTCAGTAGCATGAAAAAAACATTTGAAAAAATGTATGATCTAGCTTAGTTTCATTATGAACAGCCTCCGTATCATATCTATGTTAAAACGTTCCGTATAAGTTCAGCAGAAAGCGGTAATACACGTGGTATAAGAAGACAGTAAAATGTTACGTCATATAATAGAGAGTCGAGCGTCGGAACTGATCATCCCTGTACATGGGAAATGTGAAAGTCTGGATTCGAACGATTGTTAGTCACTCTTGATTAGTACCACGTAGATTATTAAAAAAAAAAATGTGAATACAAATTTTCTAGCATAAAAATAGCGTAGATTATCACCTTGAGAAAACTTTACTGAAGACAGACGAATGATGAGAATCCGCACTGTTCGGCAAGCTTGCAACTTTATCAGATCCGGACTTATTTTCGTCTTCTTTCTCACCAGTCAATCCTTCCATCCACGATAATGGATACGACAATCTCTTTAACATCTGAAAAGGAATAACATTTTAGTATATGCAAAGTTTAATCTTGATAATAAGAATCATTGCAAATACATTGCAAATATCGACTCCATTGTTACCTTATTCCTACGAGTCTCCTGTTTATCGTCATCCTTGTGCTCCTCATCTTTCTCGGGTTCCTCCGCATTACTGTCTAAGCTAAAAGATACTGAACTCGCCTTTTTTCTGCCATTTATAGCAGAACCACTATCAAGAGTATCAGTTGTAATGTTCGTCGGGGCAATAGTAATAGGAGGTACCCAATCTGAAGATAAGACAATATCTGCGTCTGAGTATACTTTCTTTGAGGGAATAGGTACAACTACTGGGAAAGGGGGATTAGGGTCACGAATGTCGATACCAGAGTCGTGGCATGACAATTTGACTAGAGATCCTTCTTCATCTTCGGCATTCGGCTTCGTTTTCGTGGGTTCGGTCTGGAAACGATTAAATCTATTGTTTTACACAATTCAAAATAAATGAAAATCATGTTAGTTCCAATTGTACACAATAACCAACCTTGTCAGAATTTAATGAATCTTGTTGCTCATCTTCGATTGATAATGTACATCGATCTTTACTAGGGACTGCCCAATGGTGATCAAGCATAGAACGTCTACGTTCCTCTAATGTCCTAATTGCTTGCCCACCGTCAGACTCCACTTCTTTAGTCTCTTTTTCCTTGTCCTCTTCTTTTTCTTTGGTTGTCGTTGTAGTTTCTTCCTGTACAGCGAATAGAAACAACTTTATTTAACAATTGATGCGTCTAAATTGTATACAAAAGGTGAAAATATAGTCAAAAACAACATACAGTTTGAATATTAGTAGGGGTGACGAGATCTCTCTCAAAGGCCTTTGGAAAAGCATCTCCATCTCTCTCTGCACAGCTGCAAACGCTCTCGTTATCGTCCGTAGTTAGTTCTGGAAAAGTTTCGTCTTTCCCTGATGATTGACTTTTATCATTTTGCATGGGTTTTTTCATGTAATAAATTTCTGGTTTCTTGTCCAAGTTTGCTGGCTCTCTGTGAGAAGCACGCATGTGGGCAATATCATAGTAAATTGCAGCATTCACTATGAACTCCATTGGAGCAATAACACCATATGACTCTGCTCCATGCTCGATGACAAGTCGATCCGATACATTGGGGTCAAACATCACTGCATTTGGTGTGACTAACAGTACTCCACCAATAACACCCTATAAATAGATAGTGAAATTAATTGATTAGAATCTTGACAATAGCGAGGATGATTAGTAAGCAGAATAGATACAAGATACAAAATGTTCGATCTTTACCTGGCCATCGGTGACATGGCGAACATCAATTTTCAAAAATCTTTCCTTATATGGTTGTTCTTCCTCCTGTATGACTGTACTTGATATACCAAGAGGTGTTTTAACTCGTTCCATATGGCCTGGTTTGGGTGAGACAGGCCTCAAGTTATCCAGAAGTTCTGTGAACGACAACATGAAATGTTAGAATTGCGCCAATAAAAACATCAACATGAACTGTTTTACGATATTTCAATGCCGTGTACCCATGTTAAACGAAACAAAGGCTGCTCGAAATATAATTTTCCATAAATCATTCAAATCTCCAGAGCTTTTTATATTTAAATTGACCGAGCTTGTAATACGTGATCGAATTTTTATGTAATGGCACCGAATTCAATGAGAATACAGGATGAATGCATAACGACGACATTCGTGCCCCGTTTGACGTTAAACCAGCATGCATCGCGTGTTTCCTGACGTACAGGTTATGTTGTATATACAACAACGACGCCATGTTGGCTGTCGTGAGTTTACATCGTGACGCCGATCAGCTGACGCATCATAATAATGCGCATACATACACGACAGACCACAAAAAAGGCAGCTGCATAAAAGGTATAATATCATGCTATAAAATTAAAAACCTCTATACAATTAAATGAGTTCACGTTTACCGCAGTCATGAACTTTATTTATGTTTATTAGGTCATTCCCGTAAAGAAAAAGTATAATGGCCACGAACGCTTTAAATCTCCATACACGAAATATTTTTCTTTAAAGAGATCGACGGACATGCTAATAAAAATATGGTAATCGGTATGTTTCATAAGGAACATGATGTTAAAAAGTGACAGTGTCGGTCGTAAAAATAAATTGAAGTATTTTTAATAATAGATAATCCAACTCGGCAAAAGATAATCCAACTAGGTTAAAACGCGCTTATCGATTAAACCGTCTGTCAAAACTGTACTCACAATCGGTATAGGTCGCAGAGGGAGACAGAGAGAAAGAGCGAGAGAGCGACATTTAAATACACGGGGCACGAAGTTGGACAGGAAAAGAGACACATGGACCTCCCGGAAAATCGATTCTGAATTCTTTTGCGCTACCACGTGCCACGATCGCATAAAGCTGCACGGTAACGTTACATAAACCTACCATTTTTTTTTTTTCAAGAATATGCACTTTGCTCATTCGATCAACATAACTGATCCGCACGCTTCCCGGCATTAATTTCAGGCGAATTGATTCAGTGGTAGTCGGTTCGCATAACGTGGCGCCACCCAATGACGAAATACCTTACTCATTTTTTCAACGCCCTATAATTTCCGTCTGAATTTCTCGGACGATAAGTAATCTCGCCGCTTTATTCGATTCCCAGAAACCCTTAACATTTCAATTCCTTTATATATATATATATATATATATATATATATATATATATATATATATAGCCGCAATGTTACGTAGAGCTGGTAAAGTGTCTAACTAGGTGAAGGTAACGAAAAGGATTCTTATGCGAGCATAAAAGCGTGTTACGCCACCGACAGAATTTGCTGACGCTTTATTGGCGGAAAATCGTCCCGGTCGGAAAAATATTATGGCGTGCCATTAGTACGAAGTGCAGATATTTCAAATGTGTAGGTGTTCGGCAACCGGTAGACTAGTGCAGCCGCGTTATACATATCTGTGCGACGTGTGTATGCAATAGACAGCCATTAATATTCGATGCGACACTTGGCCAGATACAATCGAGACCCAATTCATCTTGTTATTTGGCCAGGTGAGTCAATCCGATTCACCTGAACGCACCACGCCGCCCACTGTTCCATTATTCATAGAGGTGTGCTCACGTCAATTTTGCTTTCGGTTTATGGCAACCGCGCAATAAGATGCCTTGATATCGACACCCAATCACGCGCCGCTGGAACGCCTGCATTAATTAGCCACAATTAGGAGCGCGGCCGAATATTCGAGACCACAGAAATTTCATTTGCGACAACAAATTCTAGCTCGTCACTTTTCGTCGGGGAAGTCCGCTTTATGGAAACTTTGCACTTGCGTGCGAAGTATTCGTGTATCTGAGACGAGTACACTGACTAACAAAATACTTGTGGCATTCTAAAATATTCGAATTTACAGAGTGTCGATTCTGCAAAGTATTTAAGGTACCCAAACATATTAAATCCTAGAGCATCGGCAAGACTCAAGTAACTACAGTACTTGAGAACTCAGAGCAATGAAGTATCGAAGATGACTATGAACAAATTTGTATCATTCGAAACCCTAGAGCACCGCCTACACTCGTGTATTTAAAATGCTTAGAATACTTAGACCAGCAAAATATTCCAAGTACAGTAAATTCTCCCTAATTGACGCTCAGATTGTATAAAAAAAAAAATGGTTAATTTGAGAAGAGGAGATACGATTGATTATTTGAGCATTGCGGTTCGTTTTTATAGTCACCGATTGACAACAACTATAAAAACGAGCCCCCAAGATTCGAATAATCGTATTTTCTCTTCCCAAATTGTGTCCATTTTTGTTTCCAAGCTGAGCGTCGATTAGGGAGAATTTACTGTACTTGTGTAGCCGGGATACTCAAAGTGTACAACTAAAAATAGTCCCCCATATGGGTTACTCGAATGCGTTCATAGACCAAGAAATGAGCCGTTTATTTTGAAAGTGGCACAAGTCACTTTTTCAAAAAAATCAAGTTAATGGTAACACTAATTACAATTGAACGGTATCTTTTCATTTTTAAAAATTTGCAATCAATAAGTTGAGAACTATTGAGATTTGTTCGAGAGAAGTTTTGCTAATTAACGGTATAACAAACATGTCTATTTTGAAAGTGGCGTAAGTCGCTGTACTCGGGAAATTAATTGCGGGGCTTAGTGTAAAAGAAATAGAAACGTGTGATAAGTGTGTGTGAAGTATTGTTTTGAATTCTTTTCAGTATTTTTAAAAAAGTTGTGATCACCGGACTTATTTTTATAAGTGCGAAAGAATAGTGCAGTTTTGTAAATTATATTATAGTGATAATAATAATATAATAATATAATAGAAATGGATCCGTTATACGCTGGATCTCGTCCTGTTTCTTCAGCAAAATACAAAGACACGATGGACTTGCTTAATTATATACCCCCAATATACCACAGTTATTTTAAAAATTTGAAACAAAACACGATTTCCGAGGACTTAATCACTCCTATTGATGACGAAAATTAAATTGAACTGATGTATTTTCATATAAATTACTTATACTTATGTTTCAAAATGTACTAATTATTTTTGTATTTTATGAATATTAAAATAAAAAATACTTAAATCAAACCTGTATATTGAATATGTTCATGGTATATAATTGAATATGTTCATGGTATAACAATTTTAGTAAATCACTGTCCTTTCAAAACATCACTTCGGTAAAATACGTCGGACAAAATTAATATATGTCAGTCATTTTTCTAAACTATTTATTTTGAAAGTGGCTTAAGTCACTTCACCGTAATGAAAAGTGGTGATTTTTTAATGTTTATACGAAATTATTTATACTGAGAAAAATATCAGTATCCTCAGATAACAAATACAAGTAAATCTTCTCGAAAGTTAGCATCCATATTTTGAAACGTGTTAAAATGCAAACCCTTAAATATATCGACTTAAAAACAAAGTGACTTATGCCACTTTCAAAATAAACGACTCAAATATCAGACTACTGTGAACCAATATGAAAGTTTCGAATACTCAATCGGAGCACTTTCCATGTACACCGTTGAAGTACCTGTTACAGACCCCGCACACGTAAATGCAATATCGTGTGTCAACGGTTGCTACACCGACCGCTTCATTGTTGGCGTTTGAAAAATTATAGCGGCTCAAACACGTCAAACAACGGTCGCGGGGGAGAAGGTGTTGTTATTGCGAAGGAGGTCGGTCGCATTAGCTAAGCATCAACAATAAATCCATCGAATCTCACGCAACATTGGCAACAATTGTCGTCACGTCGGCAGGTGTATACAGTGTTAAATAGAATGTCGATCATCGATTAATACCGCGGTCAAAGTGACCGCTTTCTTATTTTGCAATTCTGCAAAGTTCCGAGACTCTTTCGTGGAAAACGCTTGAATAAGTTATATTATTGGAGCAAGTTTTATAATAAAAACTTTACGAATTCCAAATAAATTCGGTCTTCTCACTTTTGTGAAGCGGTACATGCCAGTTAGTATTACTGCTTGGTAGGTTTAGTAGTTAAACTTTGCAATCGTATCTGTGAAACTTTGAAGAACACGAAGAAATCATTCGTATACAGAAGTAGTAAGTTTATCCAATGCCATCAAATCAGCCATTGCAAAACAAAGTTATGTAAGGTGGCACAACTCAGAAGACGCAATGTTGCAGGGACATGCGTCGACCAATTATGAAAATCTTAGATCGTCTATTTCCATAACTCGACCTGTCGGGTACAGCTACGTTGCTGTTCCTTGATTCGTGTAACACTGTATTACATTTTTTAACAATTACCTTTCACTCTGTATCTGTTTTATTTGCATTATTATTCTCTTTCGTTTGCATTATCGTACCCATAAAGCGTGACCAACATTCAAGTTCGAGTCAGCAAATTATGATAGGGTCAGACGTTGTGGGAATACAATCGTTTCAAAGGTCCTTTCAATATCTGTCGACAGGCTGTCATACATTTCTGTATCGGGGTTAGATAAAATGCATATCTTATATGCACTTATAAGATATGCGATATGCGTATCTACATATGCATTCATAAAACATGCGATGCGTATCTACAAGATGTACTTTTTAAAAATGTTAATGGAAGTTCAAATTATAACTGATCCAAGAAAGCTCGCGTCGTTCGGTCCAATTTTAGAAGAGTTATTCTTTCAAAGAATAACCGTGTATGCACTGTGAATATTATTACATCTTCTCGAGTTATTTTCTGCGCAAGCGTCCGAGGCGACAACCCAACATTTCCAAGACACAAGATCGCAAGAAAATAGAAAAAGAGGTGCCATTTTGTGGCCGAAATAAGAACTGCCCTGGAAGAACGATCTCGGACAAGACGGCGGTGGCCTGGATCGATCCGAGAATTCTCGATTACGAAAATACATCGGGCGCGATAATATCTCGTATGACGACTCGGTGGTAGCTACGCGGGCCAACTAAAATTACCTTTTTCTTCGGGAGGTAGGTCATCCTGGGACTCGTGGTCGTGGCATGGATCCGGGCTGGGCGCGTCGGCCGCGGTTCCGCCTCCTGGTCGACCTTCTCCTTTCGCCGGTACCCATAACTGCTGACCGGGATAAATGAAAGTACTTCCGAGCCTGTTCAATTTGCTGAGCTCGGATGGCGTTGTGTCGAACCTCGCTGCCACCGACGTGAGCGTGTCCCTATCGCCCACCTGTAACGAACAAAACGGACACACGAATTACTCGCTTGGCCTCGTAATTGCTGGACCACCCCTTAACCGGGAGAAAACGTCCGCCCGACCGTCCAACCATCCAAAACAAGAAAGAGAAAGAAACGAAAACGAACTACCATCCGCCGCAGTTCACGGCGAAAGGCATTCCAACTCCGCGGTACCTAGATCAACTTCAGCTCGACGTGTTTCTGTTTCATTACCCGGAGAGGAAATTAAGAAATTCCCGTGGATCAACCCCGGAATACCAGAGCGCAACCGACCCCTCGATTCAACGTGTAACGTACGTCGCTTTTAGGTTGATACGAATCAGACGGAGTACCGAAACTCGCAAAAGTTGTATCAGGTTGCGTGCACTTCGTGCTAGGATGAAACGAGTTTACGCAAACACAGCGGTTATCTTTTCGGCAGAGTTTCCAGGGTTGTTCAACCATTTTTGCAATAGAATTTCTTTCACAGCTATGTATAGTAAATTTTCTTTAATTCACGCTCAGATTGTGCACGAAAATGGAGAATTTGGGAAGATGAGATACGATTATTCGAGTTAGACTCTATTCGGTGATATACCTTTTTACGTAGAATTCAACGCTTTATCCGAATTCGGGGAGAAATATTAACTATTCTATTTAAAAAATTGAAGGTGACCTTCATATCTTGATAGAAAAAGCAAAATAACATAAAACTGATTTCAATACTATATGCCCCCCTCCCCCCTGTGGAAACCATGCAACTTCTATCTGAAACATTTTTCTATACAACAAATATTTTGCGAGTCATTTGAGGTCGTCACTTTACGAGACTAACCCTGTATATTTGCAAAAAAGATCAACATTTTATTTCTTATAATTTTGTACACTATGATAAATTTTAAAGCATTCCAATATAATAAACTTTAATGTCCCCTCAGAGGGTACATCCGAGTGATATGCTAGAATTACGATGTCCTCTGATAGGCGACAACGCAGTGCAAAGTGTTAATTATTTTATTGAGAAAAAAATAATGCAATAGAGCTCTTAAGTTCATACATGTGTTTTTATTGTTTTGTATTTGATCTACTCATTTTTGTCATAAATGCACAATATCCGCAGTCTATTGATCGTAGAAGAGCGTCAAATTTTTTTTCGATTTCGACGAAGCAAATCATGTTCACGTTTAGTAGACCACGTGAAATCTGGCTTGTTGTTATAGCGCAAAGAGCGAACCACGCAATTTACAGATATTTGTGCAGTTATCGCGCTCGTAGTTTTGCGAAGCGTAAAACAGTGTTTTCTTAGTTAAAGTTGTTTCTTCGTTGCTTACATTAGGAGAATCTTTCAGTCGACGACGGAGTAAGTTTGTCTTCTCTGCACAAAGATCCACAGTCTGGTTACAAAAATATTGCAGACGCGACATTTCAAAGCGGTAAATATTAGCCGCCGTTGACGTGGGCACTGTACTCGACAACTTTTCTTCTCGATTGGCTCGCAATCAACAATCTCGTCGTTTAAAATATTTGGCACGACCGCCTTAGTCTCCTTTGTGTTAGCATGTTGCTTTCTAGATGATTTGTCTCGCAGATAATTCATGCTGCACATCATTTCTGCTGCGGTTATGTGCTTCTATGTTCGCCGTGCGGTTACGAAGTGCGGAAAAGCGAGTCAATCTTCTGACATGATGCACGACTCGAGCAAAAAAGATTACGATTCTCTTTCTGTTATCTTATAGTAATAATGATTTATTGACTTGTACGTATAAATGGAGAAAACACTTCTGCCCCCAAAAGTTTATGAAGATAATTTAATTACAATAGAGAAAGAAAGAAAAAAAGAAACATGGCATCAAAGATGTGAAAAAGTAAACATGATAATGATAATGGATGGAATGATAATTAAATTTTTATATTATATTATATTATATTACATTATATTATATATTATATATAATTTATTTAAACGACAATAAAAGAGAAAAGCAAAAATCAATAATTGATAATAATAGTAGAAAGTAATAACAATAGTAATAATAATAATAATAATAATAATAATAATAATACATCTAAATGGACGGAAAGGGATATTTTAGGACCAGTAGCGTACAGCGGCAAGATCGTTTAAAAGGTGAAAATGGATTGTTAAAAATATCGATGGTGTTGCAGAAATGAATTTGAACACGGTCCATTCCAGCAGTTGCGCCGATCATAGAGAATGCGGTGAGGCTCAGGTAGAAAACCAGCATTGTTTCTCAAATAACGCACAGAGGATAGAAGTTAAGTTTATGGAGTTTATTTTTAACGCGGTTTATTTTTATAATTGTTGACAATCGAAGGCTATAAAAACGAGCCGCGAGGCTCGAATAATCGTATCATCTCTTCCCAAATCGTCCATTTTTGTTTACGAGCCGAGGGATCTATTGTAACAGGTTAGAGGCGGTACATCGTTGTTCAAGCATCACAAACCAAATGCTGGCTAAAATAGTCATATAATCCTAATCGAAAATCATCATAGGTATGCTAATTAAATAAGAAAGTAACCATAGAAACTAGTATACTAGTATAGGACTCTAGGCTCTGGTATATGACACGCTAATGAATTGTAGAGAATTAAGAGTATGCAGAAGTTGGAGAAATGTTTTGACACGAGATGGATGAAGCGAAGGGTTTTAAACGATACGAAGATACGATTATTTTTGTATAGAGAGCATGAATATGACAGTGAACTTGAAAATAGCATGTCTATGTCGTGGATGCTATTAACTGCGGTTAAAGGTCTATCGCAAAGAGAATGGGGACAGGTGATATTATTGTGTTTGTATCTACAGTTGTCCACAAAAGTGTTCGCACACCTTTTAAAACGCAATAACTTTTTCAAAACTGAACTAAATGATTTGAATTTTTTTTATAGATGTTAGACGAACGATAGCCTACTAGACGTTGGCTGAAGAGCTTCTTTTAAATTTTGCTATTACTTGAAGTAAAAAGAAAGAATTAAAAACCCGCGTTTTCTAATTTTTTTATCCGAGCCTATAACGAAAATTTAAAAAATGCCTTTTCTAGATCTCGGTGACTTACATGCGTGAAGAAAATTTAATCAAAATCGATTAACCCAGAATCGAGTTACATGCGTGACAAAGTTACAAATCGTGATAAAACTGCGATTTTTGCGATCTTTAATTTGTTGTAACCCGTAACAACGTGAGCCGATTTTGATAAAATTTTCAACATGCATATAAGTTACCGAGATCTACGAAATACATTTTTTAAATTTTCATTGTAGGTTTACATAAAAAAGTTAAAAAACGAGAGATTTTTACATTTTTGTCATTCCAAGTAATAGCAAAATTAAAAAAAAAAAGCATTTTAGTTATCGTCTAGTAGACAAGTCCCTCTATCATCTAAAACAAATTCAAGTCGTTTAGTTCAGTTTTAAAATAGTTATTGCATTTCAAAAGGTGTACGAACACTTTTATGGGCCACTGTATATCTTGGTACCCATATGCAAACGATATTATTACATTAGGTCTACCGGAAAGTTCTGTCCGTTTGAGAAATGAAAAGAAATAATAGATTTTTCATAAATTTAGTAATATTTATTGTACGATATAATTCCCGTCGTTACTTATGACCTCATGCCAGCGTGATGACAATTTGTGAGCAACATTTCTCAAAAATATATGTCTCAAATGAACATGTGCATATCGATTGAAATTTGCAATGACATTATCAGACAGAACTTTATAATATATAATATTATAATTATAAATAAATAATATATTATTTGCACTATTTCGAAATGTTTCTAGCGACCCAAGACGTCCAATACCGAAGGTAATTCCTGATCCGGAGAGTTAGCGAACCCCAAATGCAAATCGGCGGCCATGGTTGCGTGCATATAATGAATGGGGCCGGGTTCGAGTCGACGGCCGATCAGAAAGCCGATCGGGGATCGTCGATCGATCGACAGTGGCGTCTGGATGCGTCCCGAAGTTGATACGTCGGGAAACCGCTTGGAACCGGGCAAGTATCGGTGAAATGCAATTTCACGGACCGGCGCTAATGCTACGTCATAAACCGTAGCTTCGGGCACAATCTGCAACCGATCATCCGTCGATCAAACCGTTCGGAGCCTTCCGAAGGGAGCATCGCGACTTCAAGCCTTCCGGAAAATTATTATAGATCCCGTAGCGGGCCTCGTTGATAACGCTGGGACCCGGGTTCGCGTGGCTCTTTCTACCAAACTCGTAAAATTAGCTGCTCGAGGCTCGGCGTCATTGTTCAGCCGAGGTCCGACTTGGTTCAACGCCAATTTGAACGATATTCGTGTTGGATTGCTTGCTCAAACGCGACTCGGGCGGGTTAGGATTTCATTTTGATAAGTGGATGGATCTGACCAGGAACGAAGTATAATCAACCAGTTATTAAACCAACGATAACACAATTATGTTTGGCAGCAACAACGTTTCGGTGGCGTCATTGTTCTATTAAATGTGCTAACATAATTTGAACGTTTCGTTGCGAAGTTACCGTTTCAAGAGATATGTGAACATTGGAACACCACCAGAGCAGTCGAAATGATTGGTTTCTGAATTTTTAGATAAAATTCTTTATTGTATATTACGACAGATTTATTGTACATTACAATTCAATCTTGTCAATGTTACAAAACAATATACAGGGTGCCCGAAGATTATGGTATTTCCGGGAAATGAGAGGTTCCTGAGGTCGTTCGAAGTAACTTTTTCCTTAGCGAAAATACAATCCGCGGCTTTGTTTACGAGTTATTAACGAAAAACAGTGACCAATGAGAGGCGAGCTCAGGCTGGCGCGAGACGGCCCAGCCAATCAGTAGAATTGAGCTTCGGTCGTCCGTTGGCTCTGTCGCTCGTTGACCCGGCTGTCGTGCGTCAACCGAGCTCGCCTCTTATTGGTCAGTAATTTTCGTTAATAACTCGTAAACAAAGCCGCGGATTGCATTTTCGCAAAGGAAAAAGTTACTTCAAATAACTTCAGAAACCTGTATACGTCATCACGAGCTTGATACGGCTGAGCGAACCAGCGAAGAAGTCTTCTTGGTCATTAAATTTCGTTAACCTTTTGGTGCCGAGCAAAAGTATCATACCTATGCGAGTAATACCGGATCAATTTGACGAATTTGCTAAGGTTTGGGAATAAGCTCATAAAACCCAAAGTAAGAATGATGTTTAGAAAATTCAAAAAGAAGCATATTACGGAATAAAGGGAGAATAAAGTAATGCCAATTGTATTTAAATATTTGTTGAAAATCGTACGAATAACATAAATATGAAACAGTATGAAAAAGAGAAAAATCAATTTCGTGTTATCTGGCTATTGAAAATGTGTAATATTTAGGAGAATGATCTCAGGAACTTTTCATTTCCCGGAAGTACCATAATTTTCGGACACCCTGTATATATTGTTTTGTAACAACGACAAGATTGGATTTATTTAAACTTGGTATACGATTTCCATTGTAACATACAATAAAGAAGTTCATCTTGCTTTTATTTGTCGCTAGAATTATTAATTGTAACCTCGACTTATTAGTCGCTTTTAGAGCTCGATAGTTCTAGCGCCAATTAGCCGACAAATTAGGAGTTAAGAGTAGCAAGAATTTGTTCAACCCCTTGATATACGATGACGAGTTAGGGTCGTCATTTATTCCATGTGCCGCCGTAGACTTTGACGAGTCTAACTCGTCAAGATCTGTCTTCGGCGGACTCAGTTGCTTCACTTGTGAGTCGATTCTGGTTTGTTTACAATATTCAAGATGCACTAGCTACCCACTTTCTCGAGAGCACCAATAACAACGTTGCATCCACAAATCTGTAATCCAAACATCAAAATAAAGCATTCTCTCTCTCTCTCTCTCTCTCAGCTTGCACATAACTGAGCCGTTTATTTTGAAAGTGACATAAGTCACTTTTTCAAAAAAATCGAGTTAATGGTAACACTAATTACAATTGAACGGTATCTATTCATTTTGAAAAAATTTGCAATCAATAAGTTGAGGACTATTGAGATTTGTTCGAGAGAAGTTTTGCTAATTAACGGTATAACAAACATGTTTATTTTGAAAGTGGCGTAAGTCGCTGTACTCGGGAAATTAATTGCGGGGCTTAGTGTAAAAGAAATAGAAACGTGTGATAAGTGTGTGTGAAGTATTGTTTTGAATTATCTTCAGTATTTTGAAAAAAGTTCTGATCACTGGACTTATTTTTATAAGTGCGAAAGAATAGTGCAGTTTTGTAAATTATATTATAGTGATGTGGCGGCTACCTCCAGACCCGCCAGCAGATGGCTATAAAATGTTTTATAAACTAACTTTAGATGAAAAAGATGAATTTCTAACTTTGGATTTGTCACCAAAAAGAGGAAGACCTAGGCGTTATTCACAAATAGAAATGGATCCGTTATACGCTGGATCTCGTCCTGTTTCTTCAGCAAAATACAAAGACACGATGGACTTGCTTAATTATATACCCCCAATATACCACAGTTATTTAAAAAATTTGAAACAAAACACGATTTCCGAGGACATAATCACTCCTATTGACGACGAAAATTAAATTGAACTGATGTATTTTCATATAAATTACTTATACTTATGTTTCAAAATGTACTAATTATTTTTGTATTTTATGAATATTAAAATAAAAAATACTTGAATCAAACCTTTATATTAAATATGTTCATGGTATAAATTTATTCAACAATTTTAGTAAATCACTGTCCTTTCAAAACATCACTTCGGTAAAATACGTCGGACAAAATTAATATATGTCAGTCATTTTTCTAAACTATTTATTTTGAAAGTGGCTTAAGTTACTTTACCGTAATGAAAAGTGGTGATTTTTCAATGTTTATACGAAATTATTTATACTGAGAAAAATATCAGTATCCTGAGATAACAAATACAAGTAAAACGCAAACCCTTAAATATATCGACTTAAAAACAAAGTGACTTATGCCACTTTCAAAATAAATGGCTCAACTGTTCAGTCGAGCCAAATTAAATAGTATTTTTCGGACACATCAAATTCCGTTTTATTTGCATGTTAATATTATTATTATTACAGTTAAGTAAGTAAATCAATTATTATTATTATTATTATTACAGTTGAAAATTTGTGGTATCTTCCATCGAATTACCGCACAGGTATACAGATAGATCGACGTCACGATCAGATACATCGTTTCACCTTCTCACGCGGTCTGATTCAAGGCTGTCCATAATCCACTGTAGTAGGCTAACCCTCGTAGCGATCAGTCGTGCGCACAATGGAAACTTCAGTCCTCGTGCAAACGACCAGTGTAATTTATGATTCTCCTTCGAAGAAGCTATTTTTGAGATGATGAGTCCCAAACTTTGACAACGCATGTTCGCAATAGAGTTTTTTTTAGAGATATCTCAATAGATAACGGAGACCGTCACAAATTAGGAGAGTTTCCGAAGGGTACTCGAAGCGGACCCAGCGACCCGAGGGCCATGTGGTCCGACGCGGGTGACCCGGAAGAAAAGTTCCACACGTTGTCACGTACAGCTCATTATCCCCTCCGATTACCACGCCGTCCCGAAAATACGCGTCGAGCGTAAGGGACAGGCGGTAAAAAGGGGCAAAATGAACAACGCTGATTGGGAAGGCCCGACGCGTGGGGTTAGCCAATCAGGGTTGTTCAAGAATTTTACCAGGGCAAACGGCGAGTGAAAAACGAATACTCAGACTGCACCGCGACTCGTCGAGAGATAAAGTCCGCGAAGAAATAAAGAGGTATTCCACCGCACAACGAGTATACAAGTCATTTAGAACTATTCTACCCAAAACCCTGATCACACATCCAGTTCATGCTCCCGAGCATCCGATACAGGCTGTCCTCGATCTCCCGGATAGTAGGCGGTTCTTATCATAATCAGACACCCTAACCCATTTTCTCGTGCAGCCGCCCGGCGGAAGGCTGTCCACGATCTACTGTGCAGTAGGTTCATCCTTATCATAGCCAGACAATCTAGCTCATTTTCTCTCGGCGGTCTGATACAAGGTCGTCCCGTTCCACCGCACAGTAGATTCATCCTTATCGCGAGCAGCACAGGCCGCGCTATAAAGCTTGACTTAAGGTTGTCCTAGTTCTACCGATCAGAGGGACGATTCCTTTCGCAACCAGACACAACGATCCTTGCAGTTTTACAATCGGCTTCCAGCTGGGACCCGCTCGAAGCGTTACACGGCCGATCGGCGACAAACTAAAAATACGACATTCGGAGAAGCCGTTATTAATTGTAAATTCTGTAATAAGGTGTACAGAGTGTTACAGAATGCCGGCTGGCCGTTAGACTGCAGGCTCCGCGAAAGGTCATTGGACGTGGATTTGCATAAGAGGCGTAATGTTCCAGCGAATGGACCGGTCTCAAGGCCCTCTTTCAAGGAATTCAATTTTCCGTTACCCGATATCCCCTTGCACGCCATTTCTGCCGGATTATGCAAATAGCCTAATGGCCGGGACGCCGGCGGGACACACTTGCGATCACAGGGAACACAGGGCGCCGCTATTGTCTTCGACGAGTTTGACGGGAGCATTAACAAGAGCGTCGAAATATTAACGTGTCCGCGATGGACCATTTCTTGTTTCGCGCAAGAACAGAATACTACGTTAACGCTAAGTCCGCCGTATCGGTCAAAAGTATTGTATTCGAAAATTGACGTAGACAAAGGACATAAGGAGAAAGTGTGCGAACTATTCTACAGAGTGTCCCAAAAATGTCTCGCAATCCGAAAGTGGCGGGTTCCTCAGGCCATTTGAAGCAACTTTTTCCTTTACAAAAATTTTCTCCGAGGCACCGTTAACGAGTTATTAACGAAAAACAGTGACCAATGAAAGGCGAGCTCGGCTGGCGCGAGGCGACCGAGCCAATGAGCGGAACTGGGCTTCGCGCGCTGGTTGGCTGGGCCGCCTCGCGTCAGCCGTACTCGATTCTTATCGGTCACTGTTTTTCGTTAATAACTCGTTAACGGTGCCTCGGAGAACATTTTTGTAAAGGAAGAAGTTGCTTCGAATGATCCGAGGAACCCGCCATTTCCGGATTGCGAGATATTTTTGGAACACCCTGTATATTATCATTTCCAAATATTATCAAAGACTTATCATATCATTTCTGTTCCATTTAATTTTTATATTTTCAGTGTGTAGTTGACAACTGAATCCCGAACAGATCGCGTGCGACGCTTGTAGATTCTTACGTATTCTATTCACGCGTAGAGACCGAGACCGTTCGAGACCGTTCGAGACCGCCCGAGAACCGAGCGCAGTCCCGAAGTTTTCGGGAGTCCCAAAACACTCGGGATCTCGAGATCTCGAGCAGTAAAAAATCCCGTCCGATCCCGCTCGAATTTCTTCGTCCTGATTCCGTAACATCGGGATCCTGCACACGCCTGCACGCCTGGTTATAACTATGCACACAGCGGATTTTATGCATTCATGAGAAAATTTACCAGGTGTGATCTGAACTAGTAGAACAATTAAAACAATTTAAGACTGTCGACGTAAAATTTCCAACTAGTGAAAATTATTAAATGAAGAAAGAAAGAGGTTTCTAAATGACTCCTGTTTTTTGTAACGAATGCAGACAATTTATAT